CCCGGGGTGTGCCCGGGAGCTGTGCTGCCATCTGGGGACTTTGTTTTGTATCGTCCCAGCCGTCGCCACACTTACGTCTTCTCCGTGTTCACGTTTTCCCTCTAATTTTTGAAGTGTTTTGTCAAACTGCGGAAATCAAAGGCAGGCATATAGACAAAGCAGAACGTTCCTACTGCGTCCGAGCTCTTTGGGATGACGGCGGTTTTTAAATGAAATTCTGTCTGTCCGACCCCAGGGGGCGATTTGCACTATCACCTGTCACAGCACGGGGTGTTTTCTGAGAAGGAGATGCGTTTCTACGCCACCGAGATCATCCTGGGGCTGGAGCACATGCACAACCGGTTCGTCGTGTACAGAGACCTGAAGGTAGGCTGGGCCGCGGGCTCCCTGTTCACTGGGCATCGGGCCCTCCGCCCACCTTTTCGTGCGCTGGACGGTGTCCATCCAACCGAGCCACGCCGGCTGGGGCAAACATGGTTAGCGTCGCTTTTTATGGTTATCTTTTAAGAATCTAGAATATTTTATTTTTGAGCATTAAAAAGAAAATGTTTTGATTTTTTTTAGAGAGAGTGGAGAGGAGAGGGGGAGAGAGAGAGAGACGTCAACGTGAGAGAAACATCCATCAGCCACCTCCTGCATGCGCCCTTCTGGGGACCGAGCATCAGTCGAACAGGCGACCTTTTGGGGCATGAGCCACACTGTCCAGGGCGAGCATGTTCTTTTCATTGTCACAAAATACTTTGTGACTTTTAAAGCTTTCTTTCAAAGTGAAGGAATCGTTGTCTTCGTTTCCACACGAGCATCGGGAAGGAAAAATGTATTTTCATCGAATTAGAAATAATTAGATACCGGTTGGCAGATGACATTTTATTTCCTCATGTGACTTTTGCAGAGGAATAAAATACGTGCGGAGGACCCATAAAGTCCTACTGTAATACATTTTAATTTGAATCTGTAACCGGTTTCTAATCGTCTCTACGCTGCGGTTTTGTTTCCCGAGCTGTTTCGTAGGCAGCGATATTATTTAATTTCTATCCCAACTCAATTCTAGTGGCTCATGATTATTCATGCTCCAGTTTTATAATAGCGTGCCGTTCTTTTTATTCCAAGCAAAACAATCGTGAGTTGATATCCAGCAGAAAACCATTAAGATGACTGTAATTCAGTGTGTGCTAGGGAGAGGAGCTTCGTTTTCCATGCCTCCGCGGCTGACCAGATCTGATCTCAGTGGCTCCATCTCCTCAGGGTCGTGGTCGTTTGGTAGGTCGTGCACCAGTCAACAGAGATGACATCAGCTGGGACTGGTGGGCACTCTGGGATATTTCGGTTTCCCAGGTCAGCGCCGGTTCCTCCTCGCAAGGTGCCTCTCTGTCCCGTGCCTCGTGGTCTCCTTTGTTACGGCTCACAGAGGCCACGAAGCCGGCGGACTCCTGCCTGTGTCCAGAGGCTCCCTGTGAAAAGAACAAGCTTTTTAACCCCCGGGGGCTGGGCTCCCCTCGTACCTGGTGCCCAGTGTTTCCTTTTCTGAGCAGCAGAATCCTTCGCTCCCCTCAGGACCACGTCTCTGCTGAAGTTGACACGACACATGTCATCCCCAGCGTCACGCCCTGCGTGGCTGTGGCCATATAAAGCCAGAATTTGCGCGTTTAGGAAGAAACTGTGATAAAACAGGGCGATGCCCGGTGCCTGTGGTTTCAGAAGTTCTCAGAGCCTCTGGCGCCTGGGGAACTCTCCAAGACCATCTCCTGTTTCTCTCTAGCCCGCAAACATCCTCTTGGATGAGTACGGACATGTCAGGATATCAGACCTCGGCCTTGCCTGTGATTTCTCCAAAAAGAAGCCGCACGCGAGCGTGTGAGTAGTGCTTTGAATCTGTTCGCTGTCATTTCTCTACAGCGACCCACTTCTTCCCTCGGTCCCTGACCTGGTTGTGTGGGCCCCCCACCCAATTTTTTCCTGCCAGCAGCGATTTTCAATATATGGTAACGTCAAGTCGGGGAAGAGCCCACGTCCCGTGGTGTGGGAGTGGAAGTAAGAGCCGTGTGGTTTCACTGTCTCCTGAGTGTCCCCAGTGTAACTGCGCAGGGACGGGGTGGTCTGTGGGAAAGAGGGGCCTCCGCGGCAGACCTGGATCCATGCTGGCTGTGTGACCCTATGTCAGTCCCTTTACCTCTTGGACCCTCGGTATCTCCTTCTATAAAGCAGAGGTAATAATAAATCCCTGGAAGCTGAGATAGGAGAACTGGAGCTGCGGAGGCAGCTGAATAGAATTCTCCCGGGAAGGCCAGAGGTTGGGTTTCTCGCCACCTCCTAATTCCTTCTTTTTCAGAGTAGCTATTTTTTTTTTCCCTGTAGAGAAATTAGGAATATTTTTTAAATTAAAAAAAAATCCCATCTACTTGCAGTTCAAGCTTTTTAACTTGGGTCCTGATAGATTTGAGCATTTTATCAGTCCTCTAAATGGCCATGGAGGGGACCCTCCGCTGCACCTGACCCCCTCCTCGGACCCTGAGCTGCACTGGGCGGCGACCGTGCTTGATCGGTGCGTGGTGACGCCGGCCCGAGGACTTCTCTGAACCAGGAACTGCTGACGTGACAGCAGGGATGTCCCAGGGCCCTGCGGACGCAGAATGGAACCCGTGCGGGTTTCCATTCCTGTTTCTTTGTCATCAGTTTACCTGGGTGGGAAGCGTGGACAGGTGTGTAGTTTGTGGAAAAGCAGACGACCTTCGCTTTATTTTTTTTCTTTTTAAGCGTATCATTCTCTTAAAATTACGTTTTATCGTACCCCTTGAGCTAACACTCATCTCCGTGTGCAGTGATCACGAAGAAACTCCCAGGAGGCTGGTTTCACGCACCCTCCAGGAGACAGACCTCAGGCCCCTCGGCTCGGGGCCCTGAGTCGCAGCACTCTCTGCCTAGGCCAGGATTGCCTGAAGCTGGCATCACCCGCTAACAGTGAACGTGCTGCTCTCTCTGTAGAATCTGGGATACGGCGATAAAGCGTTAGCGTTGGGGACAGCACCCGGGGGTGTGCGAGCTCCGCCCAGGGAGCTCGGCAGACAGTTTTGAGAGTCCCTGGAATTTTTCATGGCCCAGCCATTTGGGGTGCTCGTTTCTTCCCTTCCCTGAAGTCGCAACTCCTAAGAGTTACTCTTCCGACGGAATTAACTTTCAGATGCGGGTTGTTCATTCCCTCATCGGGCCTTCCCCACTCTTGCTGAGATCCACGCGGCAGCCCAGAGAGGCGGGCTGTGGTGTGTTAGAGCAGCATTTGCGAAGGGGTCGGATTGGGAGGGCTGGTTTCCATGTTTAAATAACGACAGTGAGGCCGCTGCTTAAACTCCTAAGCACACAAGGAGATGCTGTGTTTTTAGTAAAGGAGGCCTCCCGTGGCTGAGAACAGAGGCTCCGAGCCAGCAGATCTGGGTTCGAATCTTCCCGGTTGCGCCAGCCTCACTCCCGCCTTTGTAAAGAGGCGCGAACAGGGATGTTCACTTCACATGACAGTCTCGATGGTTAAGTCATCGAATTAACGCGACACGTATTTATTTACCACGGGCTGCGCGCTAGGTGCTGGCAGTGCAGCGGTGACCGAGATGGGGGATCCCTGACCTGGAACTGGCGGCCCAGGGGCCTGTCCTGGAGGGGACCGGTGTGTGGGGGGGGAGCCTGCAGCCACACCACCCCTGGTGCCGTTAGTTGAGCACCTTCTGTCCCAGGCACGCACGGCTGGCTGCTGTGAATAGGTGGTTAGCTTCACCGGAACCCTGGAGCTCGTGGATGCCGTGATCCACTTTTTATGGTATGGAAACTGAGGTTCAGGAAAATTAAGTGACTTGAACAAGGTCACATATCTGGCACAGCGTGGGGCCAGAATGACAGTCCGATTCTGTGCAGGTGGCAGGAGGCAGCCCCACCTCAGCATGTGCAAGTGCAGGCCCACAGAGTGGGCGTCCCCACCCCTTCGAGGTCCACGGCACTACGGTGTGGTCGCCTGTTCACGGCCCCCCTCCTCTCCCCTGCTTCCCCCGGCCCCACGGGGCTCCTCACAACGGCTCCCGATCGGCAGGGGACCTCTAGCTCTTCATAGCTGCCATGGGGAAGGGACTAGCCAGATTCAGATTTCGCCTCCTAGACCGTGGACTAGTCTTCGCATTTGATTGCATATGGTAATATATTTGTACCAATCCCTGTACTGATTAGGACAGAAAAGGTCGCTTCCCCGTTGAGTGCTGGGTAAATCATGTTTGTGTGGAAGCTCCATCGGCCCCGGTCCCTTGTGTATAGTTGGTGCCGCGTAACGAACGATGCCGGGACCTCTTGATAAGCTGTGAATATCGCGCAAGGTGGACATGTCCTGGTAACACGTGTGCCCTTTCTTCCCAGGGGCACCCATGGGTACATGGCCCCGGAGGTGCTGCAGAAGGGGACTGCGTACGATAGCAGTGCCGACTGGTTCTCCCTGGGCTGCATGCTGTTCAAGCTCCTGCGAGGGTGAGTGAGGCGCGTCCTTCCAGGTGCCGTCACCAGGCAGGCGCCGGGGTCGAGGTCAAGGCCACTGAGACTTCATCAGGCCCTCCTGTTATTTCGGATCACACAGTGACCTGTAAGCCGCGGGCCAATCTAAACGATGACCGTGGCTCGCCCGCTCCCTCTCTGCCCTATGAAAGCGAGAGCTTTGTTCTCATAAGGTTATAGACAAAAGCGTACGGTTTGGTGTTCTTGTTCTATACCGTGTAGGGATTACAACATACTTAAATCTAAAGTAGGACTGCTTTGAAAAAATTTTTAAAAAATTAACAAATAGTAAAATAAGACCGCTTAGAAATATTTCCGTCGATATGTCCCATTTGAGAATAAGTGTTATTTTAAAATGCGGGTAATTGAAGAAAGGATGATTTTTTTTTCTCCCACTAGAAATTAATTACTCATGATTGTCTTGGGAGCTTAGGGCATTCTGAGGGTTACAAAAGTGGACCAAGGCCCGAGACAAAGCCATGTTCAAGTGTTAAAATCATGCTGAAAATAATTTTTTTTTGAAAATGCCAAAATGAAATTGTGTAATTTTGTGTTTTTAATTAATTTGTGTTATACTTGACCCTTAGTCCTAAACTCCCCAAAATGGTGAAATAGAGTGGAAAGATGTTGCAATGGAAGCAACTCTCGAAACATGTTCTCATGTCGAACATTTAACGGTTGTTAACATTTCCATTGATGTTAAGAACTTTTAGCCAACTTGAATAGAGAGCTTAAGTTTTCAGAATATAGTTCTGATTTTTTCTTCATTCACAAAGAGACAAAAAGTGCTTTACGTTAAAACAATGAAGATAAATTAAAGAAAAAAAATTCCCGGTCAAGATTTTCCCTCTGATCTTTCTTTGATGAACACGCGAGGCTGGTACTGGCTGAACTTCTCACTCTTCCGTCGGAAAGCCTCCCTGAGCACCGGCGCATCCTCTTATGGTCTTCGGCACATTCTGGAAGGAGGCTGGGTTCCACGTCTGAGCCCCAGACTCACCTCCGGGCTCCCTCGCAGCTTCCCCAGGACTCCGATAATCCAGTGCTCCGCTCACCCGGTTCGCTTGGGAACGAAAATTGTATTATTGCTCAGAGAGTCGGGTCTTGCGGGTCCTGGATTGAATTATTGTATTTGTGGAGCCTGGATGGCCTTAATTCATGTCATCAGACTAGCTGACCTAATTAGAGAGCTTCTGCAAGGCTGACCAGAGAAAGCCGCTTCCACACGAGACATCCTTCCAGCCCCGGGGAGTCACGCAGGCCGGTGAGCGCGGCAGGCTCGCCGGGCCCTTTGCTTGGGCCTCCGTTGGACGTGGGGTTAGAGATACAGAAACGATACTCACAAGAAGCTCAAGCTGATAAAAAACTGCAAAGCAGCTCAGCTGTTGACCACATTAACTTGACATTCAAAAGCTACAGTGCAATGGTGCAGGGAAGCCTGCGGGAGCCTTGCCTTCAAGGCTCTGTGCTCTTATTTATTTTGTTTAATATTGTTACTCCGTTTAGCGTAACGTCCATACGTATATGTTGGGGACGATCTGGCATAACAGTACTTTATTTTTAGACGATCCGAGGGTTTTGTTTAATAACTCTATGTGATCTAGCGTTCCCGTTTGTGGCTGACAGTGTGAAGTCAGTCTTATTTGGCCGTAATTCAGATTTGGGGTGCTGAATTGGAGGGTGGTCGTGCCTTTGTGAAGTCCTTGACCAGGCTCGGTTGAAACATCATCTTCAGTGTGGCTCCTATGGAGAGTCTTGGCCGACAGGATACATCCAGGGTTTGGCCATGAGGATGGGATGGGATGGGATGGGATGGGATGGGATGGGATGGGATGGGATGGGATGGGATGGGATGGGATGGGATGGGATGGGATGGGATGGGATGGGATGGGATGGGATGGGATGGGATGGGATGGGATGGGATGGGATGGGATGGGATGGGATGGGATGGGATGGGATGGGATGGGATGGGATGGGATGGGATGGGATGGGATGGGATGGGATGGGATGGGATGGGATGGGATGGGATGGGATGGGATGGGATGGGATGGGATGGGATGGGATGGGATGGGATGGGATGGGATGGGATGGGATGGGATGGGATGGGATGGGATGGGATGGGATGGGATGGGATGGGATGGGATGGGATGGGATGGGATGGGATGGGATGGGATGGGATGGGATGGGATGGGATGGGATGGGATGGGATGGGATGGGATGGGATGGGATGGGATGGG